ACCTCTGCCCGAGGGGGCCTGGATACAGAGTGACCTCTGCCCGAGGGAGCCTGGATACAACGTGACCTCTGCCCGAGGGAGCCTGGATACAAAGTAACCCAGTCTGGGCGCGCAGGATGCACGGGAACCTCAGGCCGGAGCACAGACAATTCGGTCACGTGCAGCTTGGATGCAACGTAACCCGGGCGCTTGCTGTCAGCCGCAGAGCCCTGGATGCGGAAGTCTGGGGAGGAAACCGGCCTGAAACGGAGCCCGGCTTCGTTCAGAGGAAGGTCGGAGGGTGGGAGAAAAGAACAGCGAAAGGAGTGAAGTCAACCGGCAGCAGAAAACGGGCGGGGAAAGTGCGCTCTGCGCGTGCGTGGCGGGTCTCGGGCGGCTTTGCCGGGAGAATACTTTGCCTCAAGCCACTCTGGGGAATTCCGGGTAATGCTCGCTCTAGAGCCGGAAGTGACTTCGGCGGTGGCGTCCAATCATCTCCAAGCAGCCAATCATCGCGCCCTTGAACACCTTCGCCGGGGCGGGCGCGGAAGAGATGCTATCGCTGCCTCCCGACCCCTTGTGTGGCGCAGGAACTTCCGGGGCGGGGCGATCTCGTGACCTTCCGGCCTGGGAATTTCCCGGCGTGTTCTGCGCTCTTTGCTGTCCTTCCGGCCGCCGCGGTCGCTCCCGGCCTCCTCCGCGTGTCTCGGTCATGGCCCCGCTGCTGCTCCCCCTGCTGCTGCGCCCCGCGGCCCGGGCCCTGCGCCCCGCCGCGGCCACCGCCACCCGCGCCTTCGGAAGCCTCCTGGGAGGAGGAATCGCCAGCGGGCCGGGACCCGCGCGCCCCCGCCTCCTGCAGCCGCTCCGGAGCGCGCCCGGCCTGTGCTCGTGCACGTGCGGCGGGCTCCACACCGAGGGTGAGCGCGCGCGGTCGGGACCCGGGGAGGGGGGGCAGAGAAAGGGAGGGGCTCCCACGCCCCACGCCGACCCCACGCCGACCCCGCACCCCCCGAAGGCGGTCACGTCGCGTCTGGGGCGCTGATTGCGCAGACTAGGGGGCAGGGTTTGGGGCTGGGGCTCCCGTCCTGCCCTTGACAGGAGCGATCCGTGCGCGGCGCCGAGCGTGAGACTCGTGGTCGTGGGTGCGGAGGGGCCAGGCCCTCACCCCCAGACCTGTTCTCAGGGGGGCTCTTGCCTTGGGGGTCCCCGGCGCCCGGCCGTCCTGGCTCTGT